CCTGTTTTAAGGGACGTTAATCCCACAAAGGAGCTTTGGATCAGGATTAGTTTTATCACATTTATGTAAGTGATGAATGGTCTTTGTAAAATGAAAGCTACTAGCTTTGTCCCAGACAAATGAAATTGAATTGTTCGATAATTGCACAATTTAAGGCACTGTCAAATTTTGGTCAGAGGATGTTGGGAGCCAGTTGCTATATTTATTATTTTGCAAGATTAGGTGCTACATAGTGTTTTCCCTTAGATTTTTTTTTTTTAAGCCATCAGTTTAAATCAGCTTAATGTCTAAATCTTGAAGCATCCTATGTATGATTTCTGTCCTTTGTTATCTTTTCGAACCTGCCAGACCACAATCGGTAAATTTTGGTTTTGTACCAAAGCAACACAGGATACAGCTTCTCTCTATTTCTCCTTACATTGTAGATCAACTTCAGCCTTGGAAAACTGAGAAGCTGAGCAAGGGGACTGGCTGAAAGTCCTCTAAAATCAGGTGTATTTTGAGAGATCTTATAGAGCAATACTGTTTACCTGTTGTTGAGATTGTGCAGCTGCCCGCTGCAATATCCTGTTCTCAGCTTGTCGTAATGAGACGTGATGGTTTTGACATCTTTATTGGAAATAACAAAAAGAATGCATTTTTTTTTTGTTATTCACATTGGACAAAAGTTATAGCTGGTAATAAATGTCATTCTCACTAAAGTAAATTTTCCAAATTCTCCATTACAAAAAAAAATGATATGAGAGCCCCACTTAATTGCATACAGAATGTAAACAATAATTTACAAAATTCTGTTGACGTTATGATGTGCGTCATCACGTTCAACATGTTTGAGTGTATCACGGTATTTAGTGCCCCCGTTAGAACCTGAACATAAAATCTGAGTCACCCCATTTTTGCCTCTGTGAATATTTTGAGGTACTATACCTTCAGAGCATCAAGGTAAGTAACAAAAAACCCCCAAACATTTAGGTCAGATTCTTTTGTGCTCTTTTTACCCTTTCTTTAACAAAGCTGTCTTTAAAGTAGTTGCTGTTCCCTGCACCCTTTAATCTTGTTTTCCTCAGAAGACCCTGTTTTTTTCATTCACCTCGTTGAGAAAATGATCAAATAGTTGAATTCTGTTATTTCACGTCAGACAGTCCAACCCAGCGTGGATATAAGGATCCCCTGCTTCAGCTGTTGGGAAGAATATTTATTCTTTTGAATAAAATGAAAAATATTTGCACAGAGTTTTCTTTGAAAAAGTTTGAATTAATTTGCTGTAGATACGCCCATGTACACAGACCCTCCTTCACACCTTTTTTAGCCCATCCGAAATTTCTTGTCTGTTAATCTTTAGCACAGCCTCGTGGTTTTATTTTGCAGATATCGTTCCAGTGGAAGATGTGCCTGCTGTTGCCTGTACTGATTTATTTCTGCTTTTTCCATTGCTTTATCATCACTTTGTCTTCTCGGTTTTCCCTTCTACCTTGTGAGCTCTTGTGAGGCTGTTTGAAAGGATTGGAGGAGAATAACACACACCATAGAACAACCTGTCCAAGGACTTTTAATAAAATACTGGCTTGCTTCCATGTATTATTATTATGTGTTACTGATACCTTCCAGACTTCTAAAATTTCATATTTCGTAAATAACGTATTTCCAGACGTTAATTCTAAGTATGCTGTGCTAAAAGTTATTACCACACTTGTTTCTAGGATTCTTTTCTTTCACTGGTTTTACATTAGAGAATGATTTTTTTTTTTTTCCTTTTGTGTCATCTTTCTCCCAGGTATGCCATACCTCCAGAACACGGCAAGCGATTGGAACGCCTGGCAAAAGGTAAGCTAAAAAAAGCTCCTGTCCCAGACTAATTAACTCAAAACCTACGTGTTTCATCTTCAGTGATGATTTAAAGATGGAAATCTGTTGTTGAAGTTAGTGCAGCAGAAGCAGGCAGGAAAGTCTGAAAGACTGTATTCTGATGCAAAATAAAAAAAAAAGGTTCTGATCCTGTTTTTCCAGCATGTAGGTCTGTTCATAGTAATGATTTCTTGCTGACATTCTGTTGACTGTTTCATACTCCAGTAAAAAAGGGAGGGTGTTGAGGGGAGCAACTGGGTGTGTAGGGCAGATGTGGATTAAATGGGCGTAAATGTCCCAGGGCAGGGTAGTATTGTTCTCCTGTGCACTGAGAGCCATGAGCCCCTAAATACAAATAGTATTGAAAACTGCTGCTCAGAAATGTTGCATTTTGAAGCTATAGTTCAGTCATTTGCCAGGTTTTATAAAAGTTACTAAAAAGTAAGTAAAAGCTAAGAAGTCAATAAATCCAGAATCCAAAATATCCCGTTGAAGTCTGACATGAGTAACACTATGTCTCTTTGCCCTTTCTAACTTATTTTTACTGATTTTTACTTATTTTTTGAGACACATGGATGGTTGGCAATGTATAAACCGTAAGCAACTTAACAATGATCCCGTCTTTAATTTTCTGTCGCTTAATATCTTCTGGAAGTTGGGTTGGGTCATGTTTTGAAACTACAGAGGAGGAGTGCTGCTGCTTGGGTGTTCTCCCTGTCCTGTGCATCGGTGGTCGATAGGATGAAGAAGTTTACAATAGAAAAATGAGTCTGCAATTAATATGGAAAATGAATAGCTGAGCTGAAAATGGGCTCACTGGGAGAGCTCTGGAGCCCATGGAGAGAACGTTAATGTGTTGCCATGTTATTGGTGCTAATCACTTAAAATGTGCTCCTTTATTAGTAGCTTTAATGAGAGCCACTTAAACTGTGCATTAAAAAGAGGAACTGCAGAGAGGGGCGGCAGACTGGGTAGCAGACAGTCATAATTTAATTGAAATGCTTTTAGTACAAAAATATAAGAAAACCTGGAATCCAGCAATCCTTTTCACTTGCTGAAACCCCTTCCATTATGTCTCATCAATTAGTTTTGTTTCCAGAGCTTGGGTTATTTATTCTTCTAAATGGTGATGGTTTTTAATCCCTATAAACACGTAATTTCTTATTGAATCACCCACTTGGGGTGGACCACGCGGTCTTGAACCGAATGGTGGTGCATAGCTTTAGGTGACATTTCTGGGAGCGAAGGGATTTGTTCAGTTTTCACCACAGTTTTAGTATTTTCATTATTTCTGATTTGTTTTAATAGCTCAGCATGGATTTTGTAGCTATGGTAGAACTTCTATAGTGCTGAGCTTCTGAGTCAGATCGTACCGCCTCTGCCAGACCAGTTGGCGACCACTGGAACCAGTGAATGAGTGTTCCCCCTTCCGCTGCCTTGGGATGGATGTATTTTGTTCCCTTTCTTTCTTTTGCCTGAATTTTAACATCTACATGCTATTTTTTTCCCTTTAGGGGGTGGTATGTGGGGCAGATCAGTCTGGATCCCCATGAATTGTATTCCTTTCCCAGGAATAATGTAGCTGCCCATCAGAGGAGGTCTCAAAAGGAGAGTGGTGTTTGGAGGAGATGCTGCATGCTTGTCATTTTGGCTGTATTGGGAAAAAGCGTGGCTCAGGGTTTAGGGTACGAGCCAAAGCTCCAGGCAGACAGGTTCTGTTTCTTACTTTGCTGGGGTTTTACTGAGATTTTTCCCAGATCAGAAGGTTTACATGCAACCTCTCAACTTGAGTGGAGTTTAGACTTGGGTACCTCAACATGAAAGTTTTTGTCACAAAATTTATGTGGCATTTTAAACGATGAGGGATGTGCTAATTACCAACACCTTCAGTTGTATGCTGATTGTTCTGACCTATACAAAGTGTTTGGGCAGGTTTTCATTTTTTCAGCTGGTCTCTGCTTCAATAATGACTGGCTATAATATTCCTGTAGTGATGCTCCTCTTTGTCATGTCCCCGCAGGATTTTTTCCAGGAAGCTCTCAGGGATGTGATGCTTTCCTCCGTCACAAGATGACCCTCATTTCACCCTCAATCTTGAAGAAGTACGGCATCCCTTTTGACCGGGTAGGTACAAAGGATGCACTGGAGGCTCTGGCGAGTTGTGGAGGTGCACAGAGCACAGCACCCCTCTTCTAAGGAAGCAATTCATTGCAAACCACTGGGGAGCAATTTGCTTAATTTCTGAATGCATTATTATGCTAAATGTCTCCTATCGGTTTAAAGCAGGTGGCTGGCTGTAAATGAGGATTTGTGGTTTGGCTGAGACCCTGTGAAGTGCTTCTCAGCAGAACAGCTTTCCCTAGAACTAACTTTGGCAGTTAGGGAGCCTCTCCAGGTAGAGAGAGGCAAATGTAATGCTGATGCTGTGGCTTATCAATAGGCAGCATAACTCCTGGGTAATTCTTGAACACAGACTTTTTTTTTTTTTTCCTCCTGGATCCAGTATGAACCAAAAACTGGAGCTGAACGTGCTGGTTCTCTGTTGTGTAAGCGTTCGTTCTGTGCTAAGGCAGAAAGAATCCATGAATCTCTTAAGTCCTCTTATTTGAAATACAGGGTCGTGTTTATTTGGGATGATCGTTTTAATGTGCTTATTCTTCAAGTCTTCTGGCAAGAAGTAAATCTCCTCAGCCAAGCATGCTTACAAGGGATTTAGTATCTGTGCAGAATCAAACAGCTACTGCTGCTGTGTGTTAGCAGCACACGGAGCCTGTCCTGCCGGGGTGTCCTGCCTTTGGATGGGAAAAAAAAAATTGAATTTAGAGGTATGGGGACTCTTAACTCCAATGGGACGTGTCAAACAATGCCTGATTCAAACCGGTTTCATCCTTCCCCATCCCCTTTGCATCATCATCTGTAGATATTATGACCATCTTTTTCTAAGTAAGAACTCTCGAGCTCTGATATATTTTTTTAAGCATTTTTTTAAAATTTTTTTTTGTTAGAGTTAGTCCACCTGAGACAAAATGTAGCATTGATTTGATGAGCCTGGTGATTCTTTGAGATGGAAGTAAAAGATCTTGGCTCTTTTATAGCATAAAAACTGTGAATTCATTCAATTTACTGCTCCAGAGACTGTTTCATTTTTCCTAGTGGAAGGCTGTGATGAATGAAATTTGAAGTGTGATCATCTGGCTTGTCAGATGAGTTTGCTGTCGGTGCAGGGGAGACTCGCAGGAAGCTCTGTGGTGTGACACCAGTGGCGAGGCTTGGCTTAGTTTGCACGTGATGGTTGATATTAAATTGTTCCTAGAGAGCAACAAACCATTTTTCCTGTAATTCTATCTGTGGAACTGAATTCCCCAGTATGAAAACATTCCTACCTGCTACACATGGTTGAAAAGAATAATGAAAATAATCTAATCACGGGATCTGAATTTTTTGGTAAGGATTTTCACTTTACAAATTTCACTTTACAAATTTGGAAGATGGGAGGCAGCTCGGGTTAATGCGTGGATGCCTCTCTGAGAAATGACTTTTGATAGAGGATAAAAGACATTATCTATCCCGACCGTATTCAGAAAAGAGGACAAAATGTGTAGCCAGTGCAAACGTGTGTTCTATGTTTGCTTTTCCATGAGGAAAAGTGGCATTGACTAGTAATTACATAGTAAGCGATTTCTGATCAATAACCAAGCAAGAGGAGCAAAGGAGGTTGTAAAAAGGCAGCAGAGGAAAGTTTTCCTTCCAAGCATTTCCCAAGTCAACTTTACTGAGCTGCATGGTATGGATGGGATAGAAAGTGGTTTAAATGTGGGAGTTTGTAATTTATTGTTAAAAACTCTTTTCTTGCTTAGCCAGGCTTCCCACTGTGATTTGTGAGATGAAGATTTTTCACAGATTGATGTCTGGTGTCTCCTTCATACTGAGTATGTGTAGGAGCCTTTAAAATACCCACTATCTGAATGATAAGAGTCTGATTTTTGTCTCCCTTTCTTTTAAAAAAATAGAAGAGACCAGTGTGCACATAGAGGACGATGTCACTGTCAAACCCAAGCTTTTTGAAGGAAGGGGGTTTATTAACACGTTAGTTAAATATAATTCCCAATCCTGATTTACCGAGTGTGGGGGGAGGGTGTTTTTTATGGTCGCTTCTCTCCGGCACTCGCTGGAAGGATGTTTTTAAATGTAAAGAGGAGGAGGAGGTCTCTCCAGTCGGAGCAGCCTATCTCCGAGCACCTCCTGTCCTGAAATAGCAGCTTTTGAAGGGGATCACTATTATCCAGAGACAGTGAACGCGTGTGATTTTTGTTTAGAAACAGAGATAGGATCCCTTCATCTCAATTCTTGGCAGATCTCAATGGAGTGAACAGGCACGTATTTATAAATCTCTATAATGGCATTCACTTCTGAAAAAAAAAAGAAACAGATCAATACTAGGGCTTTTTAATAATTAAAAATGTGTATTTCTGTAATCTCCTATTGATTTCTCCATTTATTCTTCAGGAGCTTGCAGAAGTCAGTAAATTTAGGGCTTTCTCCGTGAGTGGCAGTTTGTGCTGGCTTTCCTTCAATAGTTATTACTTTTCTGCATGGCCTATCCATCATCTTGAGTGCTTTCTAATTTATTGGAGGGATAATGTTGACAGCAGTGACATGGAGGACATACACTGTGGGCTTGAAATGAAGACACCAGGATGTGGATTTCTTGACAGAAACATAATCTTTCCGTCTGCTGAAGTTAGCAATCTACCCCTCTGCTGTGATTTATGGAGAGGGCTGGATGGGAGGGTGCTCCGTGGAGCTGGGCACAGACCGGACCTCAGCGCCTCTCATCCAGAAACACTGCAGAAGCTTCTTGTATTAGCATATCAGCTTTTATTCGCTTTTTTAAAAAAAAAATCCTGCTAACGTTAATAACATTAGCAAGTGTGGGTTGACGGTTGGACTTGATGATCCTTGAGGTCTTTTCCAACCTTAATGATTCTATGAAGCCTAGACCAGTCGAGTGGGTAAATGTTTTAACTTCTGTTGATGTTTTTTTCTATTTGGACCCATCCTTGGGTGTATGGGTGTAAGTTCTCCAAGATCTCTGCAGGCTCTGAGCTAGCGCTGGTGGGAAGGGATCCAAATGGAGTTGCTTGGCGTGTGACTGCTATTGAACGGTCTGTCAGCACTTCTGGCTTGGAAAGACAGGGAAGGTCAAATTTTGCCTCTTTCCTAATCCATAGGAGGGAGGTGCTGTCACACGCTTGCTAAGCTGGAGAGCTGGATGGGAAGGGTTGCTCCAAGCACGCCGTGTCACTGCCAGTTGCTCTTGGGATCTCTGCCACACTCTAAAAATTAAAGGACTTTCCCCCCCCCAATGTCTTCTTTGCATAAGATATAAAAAGAGGATTTTCTAGAAGCATCACAAATTGATTGGCCTCTGATTGCAGCTGTAATCTGCAGAGTTTTTAAACCTTTTATTAATAATGTCCATAATGTTTATTGTTTTGATTTTACTTAAGTAGGTAATGGGCTGTAATTTTTAGATTGTTTGACTTATGGGTGGACAAACGGGAGTGAGTCTGCTAAATGTGAGTGGTGAAATAAAGGCAGTGGAGGGCAGCGTGTGCTTCGGCAGGACCCTGCAATGTACAGTCCACGTTAAGAGGGAAATCCAGGTTTCTTGGCTCTGCTGTCATGGTGGTGGGAGCATAGATTTGGATTTACCATGAGCTAAAGTGGTCGTGATCTAAAGATTTCTTGATCTCCTAGAATGCTGCAGCCTGAGACCCTGTCTGCAACTGCAACCTGAGTCTAAATAGTTTGATCTTGTGACCCCTTCCATCCATTGTACTGTCTTTTTTTCCTTATTACAAATACTTGAGTATTTCTGCTGTTAGCAAGAAACTGTTCTAGGTTTAGCCAGGACTTGGCAATGACTATTCTGCCTACCCTCCAGTTGAAAGAGAGAGATTTAACCAGTGAACTTTTTTTATAGGTCTCTGTTCTCAAGCAGCCACATCAACTGCTCTGTGGAGTATCCCTTTCTTTTGTTCTTGTTTTTCAGATCACCCAGGAAGCCGGAGAGTTCATGATTACATTTCCTTACGGTTACCATGCTGGCTTCAATCACGGCTTCAACTGTGCTGAGTCTACCAATTTTGCCACTTTACGATGGATCGACTATGGAAAAATGGCAACCCAAGTAGGTGTCTGTCGGGATGAAAGGTTATTTAAAACCTCTAGCTCATGAAATGCAAAGGAATGAGCGGGAGACTGAACCGTCGGGATGAAATGGAAGGTGCCATTGTTTCGACGATGTGCTCTTTCGTTGTGCCGTGTCGCTGTTTTATGCCTGTTGACGATTTGTGTCACTCTGAGGGCATAGCATTGACTTTCTCAAATGCGAGATGTTACACACACCTTGTGAAGAGGCTGTTTGGAGACTAGTAAGTTGGGATTAGTTTTCTGATGCATCCAAACTGCATTTCACAGTGAATAAGGTGACTGATGTAACTGAATACAATTCATTAGGTACACATCGAAGGGGAAAGAATACGCTGGAAATACTTTTAAGTGTTAAAGAGACTATGGTAATAGCCTTCTGAAAATACCTGAATTTCTCTGTTCTATGCACTCGGTTAAGTTTGAAGAGGAGAGTCACGCTGAAATGACTTTGTGGGGCTGTTTCTCATTAGGGCAAATTTCTGGTATGTTTTGTTACCTTTGACAGTTCTGAAGTCAGTAAGGGTTTTCATGCCAGCACACACACTGCATTCTCTTGTTTTTAACTGTGAAGTATAACTGATCAGCTTACCTGGTTGGATAGGATCTGTGAATTTTTAAATTGGGGATCAGCTCCACACAGCCTTTGGGGAATGGATAAATGATGGCAGAGGAGCTAGCACTTGAAAATTCCCTCGGATGTTCCTTTCCAGAAAGGCAGGCTTAGTTTTCACTCTGAAATAGCATCTATAATATTTCCTTTACTCATTTTTCTCCAGAAAGGCAGGCTTAGTTTTCACTCTGGAATAGCATCTATAATATTTCCTTTACTTATTTTATCAACTCAGCTTGACCGTGTAACTTTTGTAATGCATCCTAATGCTTTCTTCTGGACAAAATGAACTCTGTTGGAAACGGACTGCAAGTACATCTGTGTCTCCATCTGCAGAGCAGTGTAGTGATGTCTATTTTTCCTTTACAAAGGTTTATGTTCCAAGAGTAGCAAAAGGTAGATGATTACTGAGTGGCATTACTCTTCTCCGCTTTGGGATCCTGTGGTCCTTGGCAGTGCCCTTTCTAACCCTCCGCCTTCTTGCTGTAATGCCTTCAGCCATTTTTGAGCCAAGCTGAAATTTTCCACCCAGAATTATATTCAGTAGCGATGATGTCGTGTGTTAATCAGCCTGAGTGGCTGCTTGGTGACTAACCCAAGTCAGTCTTTTTTGTTTCTGGAGGCTGGTGCTGTTGCTGGCATTGCAGGCTTCAAGGCATCTTGTAGAATCCCCCCAAAAAACCCCCCATGCTGTTTCTTCCTGTTTTTCCTTTTTAATAAGTGAACATCATTAACCCAGCTAGAAAAGGAAGATGCTTGTCACCCTCCAGGACCTTTTTTCCTGCTTTCTTCCCCTCTTTGGTATTCTGTATCCTCCCTCAGCAGCCGCAGGCAGTCTTTGACTGTCCAGTGGAACAATAATTGGTGTCTGAGAAGCTTATTCCATGGAAAGCAAGCTTTCAGGTTCCTGAAAGGTGAGGTGTCTGTTTTGTTGATTTTTTTCTAGTAATATTCAGCCCATAGTTTCAAGGACTCCCCTGTTAGCCAACAAATTTGACATTTGATCTCTCTCCTTTTCTGAAATAAACAGATTTTATTATTTCATTTCTGAAACTACAGTGCTGTAGGAGCATCTTCTGCGAGACATGCTAGTGGCCGTGCCGTGAAATATAAAACCCAAATGTACCATGAGATATAAAGTACACGTACTCCACGTTACAAAATTAACACCTCTGAACTGCTAGTAATGGCAACTGAAATGAATCTCCCAGCAGAAAAATCCTCATGCTGAAAAGCAATGGATTTGTCCCCTCTGTCCCCCGCCAGTGTTCAAACAGTGAACCCTGCGCTGGTGTTCGTCATCTCTCGTACCCCATCCGGGCTGTGGACGGACCCTGGGGCAGTAAATCGAGGCTCCGGGTGGAGGCTGGAGTGGGCGTCGTATGTTTGAGTTTATTCTGGAGTTAAAGGGATGGTGAGAAAAACCTGGAACTGTAAGAGACCTCCAATGAATGTTAGGTGTCTTAAACTCAAAAACAGCCAAGCAAACCTGGTTTGAAAATTTAAAAAATTGTGTTTGTCTGCTGTGACCTTGTATACCGGGTTTATCTGTAGCGAATGGTCATGGTATTACACCCCAGAAAATGGGGTTTGTCAGGGAAATCCTGACAGACCCTTAGTGCAGCAGGCACCGCTCTAATATTAAAAGCAATTTTGGGTTCAGCCATGTGTTCACAAACAAGTGACATTTGGGAAGTGCAGTTTTAGATTGAGCCTCCATGCTTACATTGTTAAGCAGCGTAGCGTGAAATTACCGAACAAGCGGCACAGAGAGCTCCCAGCAAATCTAGGGAGAGAAAGTTGAAGTGTGGAAGGAGACGCCCAATTTATTTCCATTGCACTCAGTGACACTTGTCTGTTCAGAGATTTCCATTTCATATTGCCTAGACCACGTCCTGCATACATGTTAATTAACCCTTCGATACCTCGCCGGCGGGTTCCCGATGAGGAAGGAATGCTGATACCCTGTAAGGGCAGAAGGTTTGTTTAAATCTCATTTGAAGTTAAACAGGGACTTAATGAAATACCAGCTGAGTGTATTCGCTCAAGCTGCCCATGTGATTGTGGAGAGAGACGTCCTGGAGCGTGTGATTTTTGGTTAACTACAGGTTTTACTAAATGTAAAAAAGGGCTGTATTGATTGCTGTGCTCTCAGGCACAGATTATCCTTGCCTGCATCAGAGCAGGTTATTTTTTTTTCTTGTCACATACTCATTTATGAAGTTCTTGGAAACTCTAGCCCGGGTGGCTCTCTGCAGGTACGTGTGCTTCTGCGCTGCAGCCAGCTGGCTGGAGGGCGATCCTCCTCCTTTCCGCGGGTCAGCAGTACGGCTCTCTGGTCCTACCAGTACTCGTGAGACTGGGAACAAGGTAAGGTTCCCAATTAGCTGGTTGTAATGTTCTCATGAACATTATCCTTGGGATGAAATTTGGATTCTGTTCTGCTGAGAGCGATGTATGTCAGCGGCACAGCGTAGGAGAGGACCGGCGCGGGACGGCGATGGCTCACCTTGGAGGAGCACAGGCAGAGCCGTGCTAATTGCCTGCCAGATGGAGGAAAGGCTCAGCTCACCGCAGCAGAACCTGCCGGGGCTGGGAAAATACAGAATAACCACACTGGAGATTAAAGATCAGCTTCTTAGACACCGGTTCTGTTCCAATTGTAGAACAAGCATTGGCAAAAAAAAAAAAAGCTTTTGAGAACTTGGTGAGAGGTTTTGGAGGCTCTTTCAGAGCTGCTATGGGGAAGTTGATGTGAAGGGACTGGAGGGTGTACGTGTGACGGTAACTGGGGTGCGACGGTGGGTTTTGTGGCTTTTAATGGACGGTGTAACCATCGCTGACAACTAACCTCTTACCATATTGACCAAACATCTTTATTGACTAAATATAGGGCTAAATGTGTGTCCGCATCTGGATGGGATGTCTCTGGTGTCCGTGCAGCGTGTCCCAGGCTCAGGTGGGCAGTTTGGGGGCTGATGGCTTTTGGCACATGGGTTACCCAAATTCTCTGCTTTCTGAGGTTTTCCCTGCTCTTGTTTCAGCTTTTTAGCCACAGCAGGTGCTTGCCTCTTAAATCTGATTTGCTGATCCTCCTGCTAATTGCTTCTCTAAAGCCTCGATGCTGAGTGCTGCTATGCGACAGACAGAATTCATGTCGTCTCTCACGATGTGTATAATCCTCCGGACTGATTGCTCTCTGTTCTTAGCAAATGTCAATCTCTCTAGGTTCAGAGGAAGGGGATAACATTCTCCTTTCCTTCATTTAATTCTTTGGTGGTGTACCACTGGGAAATAGATGTCTTGCCTACAGCTGGACGTTGTGCCCAGAAGTGTCGGAATTAACGGCTCTTTAGCTGTTATCCCATTTATTGTCGGTGTAAATATCTCCATCTGTCCTCGAGGAACCTTGCGTTGCAGCTGACTTCTTCCCAGTCAAGGTGACTTTGAGGCCATCCACGGCTTGCCCGTTCCCCCTAACCCATGGATAACAGTGAAGAGAGATCCAGGAGAAATGAGTTAAAAGGAGGTTTCGCAGGTGTTGGAGATACTGGCGCACTGTTACAGGAGTCAGCTGGAATCTGAATACTTTGCTTTAGACCTTTTTCTGATTACATCCCTTGGGTTGGGATGGTTTCATTTGTATCTCCCATAGGTTCTGTTTGCCTGCACAGGCAGAGCCTTGAAAGTCGGGGTGAAATATTTTCCTTTGTACTCCCTAGTCGAGTTCTTCAGTCATTTGTCTTCCATTAACGGTGTGTTACGGGGTTTTTTCTGTTTGGCTGTTGAAGGGGTCCTGGGGAGTGAAATGCAGTGAATGATAATTTTCATTCCCTGCTGTCTGGTTTGTGGTTTTTTTTTTTTTCTGTTTTGCTACATGAGCCTGCAGTTCCTTTCTGCGTTCCTGTTTTGATTCGCTTTGTTTCTCAAGACTCCTGGACGCAGCCGTCAGCAGACGGAGGGTCTCAATGGCTGTGAGCTGGACTGAACAGCCCTTGGAAAGCCAAGGGTTACAGTGACGTGTCCGTCCTGGTGTCAAGGTGCCCTGTAAGTCTCCTGGCATTCAAAAAAACCCACTTTCAGAGTGAAATTCAAATGTACCTCACTGTCATCTTTTCTATTTCTTTTGCAAGAAAGGAAATAAATGGATAGGAAGGGAACAACCCTACACTTTCCTTTACATGAATAGCAGACACTCCTGGGTGAGAATGTCTGTGTTACTACCAGTTGACATTTTCATGCCTTCATCTTATCTCGTGTTTACTCCAGAGATAGTGCTGGAATTATCTATCTCAATATAAAACAGGGTCAAGTTGCCCTTTCTTCCCCAATCCTACAGTTAACGTTCTGAAACAACCTCATCCTGC